TCGGAAAGTTAAAAAAGACAAAATCTACAATCTAGAAATTTTTCTGCATGTTAATTGATGACATGAAATTTTATAATTTCTGTCGTTTACGATCCTTTAATCCTTGAAAGATCTGTGCAACGGATGTTTGCAACGCTTTTTGAGTATCTTTCTGCAGCTTTCAACAGTAATTTGAAAATTTGAAGTAACTGCTAATATGTTTGCAAATTATCTAGGGGCAATGCCGATTAAGTATGTTTGCAAATTACTGTTCAAATGTGCAAAAAAATACTCAAAAAGCGTTGCAAAAATCCTTTGCACAGATAATTTAAGGATTGAAGGACCAGGAAACGACAGAAATTATATAATTTCAAAAAAATTCTAGATCTTAGATTTTGTATTTATTTAAAAAAAAAACATTTTTCTGCCGTTTGATCGCCAATTTTGTCTTAATAAAAAATATTTTAAAAAATATATGTTGCACCATCCAGACATTTTTTTTTGTGGAACCGTTTTATTATCACTCATATACAGTAGATGATCTCAATAGCAAATAATGCATTTTTTTTTTTAAAAAAAATCTGTTCTTTCAATTAATCAAAATTATGAATGCTAAATCTGTTTAATAGAAAGGCACTTGTTTGATAAATATGTATTAAAATTTATCAGTTATGATCAAAACAATAAATTTTTACCGATTTCTAACAACAATGGAATGATTTACCAAATTAAAAATTATAGTCTATTTTTCCCTTAAGTTGCCTGAATACTTTTTGAGTATCACACAATTTTTGTAGATAAAATTTTTAATAAAGAGCTTTTTCTCAAAATATTACACAAAAATTCTACAAGAGATTCCAGTGCAGAAAAAAAAGTTTTAGTTTTTTCAAATTTTCAAGGTGTATAGTCTATGACGTATTTACAAATTTTTCGCCGTTTTAGTTTTTTCAAATTTTCAAAGTGTTTTATAATAATTAGTGAATATTTTTAAAAACTGTATTAAGTACCTACTCGATCCAAAACAAATCCATATTATTGAAAATAAATAAAATATTTATTTATATAAGAAAATATAATAATGAACTAAAAAATAGTTTAATATATATTTTAAGTAGTGTATATTTTTTTTAATAAATATATTTTAAATAAAAGTTTATACTAATTTTCACAAGAAGTACACAGTTAAAATTATCTATTACAAACTTTACAAAAAATGACTTACCTATGCAAAAAACTCCTTTCGCATAGACTAGTAATAAAATAAACTTTACAAAAGCATTCATATTCCTCAACAATATTTCTTGTGTACTATAAATAATTATATTTTGAATTGACTGACAATATTTCCTTTACTAATCAAAGCCACTACATAATCAAAACTGAACTGATTGAAAAACACTCCCGAATCTAAATTAGCGATAGCACTGACTAAAAAATGTAATTGAATAATAATCCAAGTTATGATAGAAATGAATTATGATATCGGTCGCAGAAAAACAAGAACGGCCGCGGTTTTGCAATCGGCAGCATTTAACGCGAACGCATTTTTGCAGAGCAGGCTCTTTTTATTTAGAATATGACACACTTATGCCAGAACAAAACAACAGCTGCACACGTGAGCCACTGACCAATTTCTGGACTGAAATCTATATCAGAACAATAATAATAAATAAAATTAAATTGCAACGATTGAAGATCGATTGTATAAATACAGAATACTTGGTGCATTTTAGAGATCGATATGAGATAAGGAATACTATTGGAGCAGATTTTTTTTTCAAATAATTTTTGTTTTGTTTTATAACTATACATACAGTACATTCAACTACTGAAACAGGTAAATTTGATTTGACAGCGTGTGAAGGATCGCTATCCTGCGATAGCACCATCCTAGATATTAGTGGTTTGATGTAGTAAATCTTTGCAGGTTTTTTCCTTAAGTCGCTTTCGTGGTAAAGGCTTGAGCAGGTCACATGTTAGTTCGTTTGGATATCGACTTAGCCGAGTTTTGTATCTGGAGCAGAAATGGTTATTTTTTTCTTGGAACATATTTTGGAGCGTTCACAATTTCTTTCAAAATTTTGTTCTGTAACCTCTGTAGAATAGTTATGTTTGACTTACTGGCCGCACCCTAAAGTTGTAGACCATAGAACCATATTGGTTCAATAATTGTCTTGTATATTAGAAGTTTATTTTCTAACGAGACTTGTGATTTCCAGCCCATTTACCAATTAAATTGCCTATGTGTTAGTTCGAGGTGTTGGCGCTTCTTAAATATATGTTCATGCCAGGTTAGTCTCCTATTCAAATGTATTCAATAGTATAACTGACTATTTCTCAAATTAAAACTCAAATGGATTCGATACTAAAATTTTAAAACGCGCGTAATTTTATTTTTTCCAAATTGTGCAAAAACAGTAAAAATTTTGTTCCAGAACACGAAACGAGGGTGCTACGATTTTTTTTCGTAGTTTTGCTTTGTTGAGCATCTACTATGAAAAATTAAATATTATATAAAAATAGATATTGTACAGTATTTCAATTTCTAATCTAGTCCATTTGTACATACTATAAAACAACAGATTAAAATTACAAGGTTATTGGAAAAACTTCTAATTTAAACTATATCAAAACTAAAATTAGTCAACCATTGTGTTACCTTCAAACAGCCATTAATAAAAATGTTCATGAAATCTAATAATTTTGCCTGCCCGTGGCTCAATGGTTAGAGAGAGAGGTTTCAATCAGAAGTTACGAGTTCAATATCCGCCTGAAGCAGTAGTCACATCGATTTCCATTAGGAAAAATTGAATGAAATATGTTTGCAAGTCTTCTTCGGCATTGCTGCATGTATTGAAGTTATCCAAATAAATCCATAAATTAGATATAGGGGCCAATCTTTGGGTTAATTTCTGAAAACCACATTAATAAGAATGTTACAACAAGGTCCAATTGCAGTCAATAATAATAAAAATACAACAATTAATCATCTAACCTGATTATTAAATCCATGTTCAAAACTACCAGGGCAAAGTTGAAAAAGAAACGTATGTAACATTAATACCTGTTAGTTTTCAAAATCTTTAACAATAGTCATAAATCGTTTTATTATTTTAAAAGCCATTTTATTATTTCTACAGTCTTACTTGCAGTCCCATTTAGGACATAACGTTACATGTATGTATTACATGTATGTTATGTTACTTGTAACGTTACATAAAATAAGAATGTTCAAAAACTAACTAAATTATTGAACAAAACTAAATTATTTGTTTAAACAATTGTTACACGAAAAAATAAACTCTGTTGCCTTTGACAAGCATTACCACGTTGAAGAACTGAATAAGATTGGTTCATATTTTTTAATTGATTATTCAAGTATAAAGTCAAAATAAAACAATAAAGAAAAGTGTAAAGTATGTTTTCAATATAAATTTTGAAAAATACTTCTGAATTTTATCACTTATGATCAGATTTTATAAAAATCGGTACAAAAGATATGGTACTTACAATTGTTTGCTGATTATATCTTGGTAGGCAAACATTATTACATTGCAGTAGTCGAAACAAATCCAAAAGTTTCCTTCTTTCTTCGATAATTCGTTTCCACTGTTTACTAGATCACTACATCGTTGATTTTAATTTATTATGATTTATAGGGATGAATATTTATCATTCAATAATTAGGCCATTTGTGAAGTTCCTCCTACGCCATTCCAGATTTAGATGTTCAACAAAATATTGCGGACTGATCACTAATCCTTTTTTTTTCAGAGGACTTTGCACAGAATTTGCGCATTTAAATACAACATTCAGAGGAAAACGCAAAACGTACATACTAAAATTACTTTAGATACTCACTAATTAGAATTTCACAAAGAAATAAAGAAAAGATGCGACTTGATATTTCGTCCATGAAAGCATTAGTGACCATTGTCAAATCGATGGAAACAAAACTGCTATAAACAAGAGCAAAAAATTATTCCTGAAATTATACAGTAATATTAAGAGAATGCTCAATGGTGAGTATATATTTTAGTTAATTTATTTTAAATAATTTAATTGTTTCACTGAATTAGATTTTGAACAGTTGGAAAATTTTAGGCATTTATAGCACGATATGAACTTAGATCATTGAGATTGAAAATCAATATTGAAAGAAGCAGACACAAGACTGCCGAAGAGATTCCGGAAGTATCTGTTGTCAAACAAGGTCAGGTTTTATGTGTGAAACGCCTGATTATACAGAAAATACATAGCTTTTTAAAAGTTTTTACAACCAATTCATACGAAGATAGCACCGTTACATAGCCTTGCCATAACTTTCCTATTTTATCGGAGATTTCGCCCCTAACACTATTCTGCAATGATGCAACAAGCTTCAATGAAGAAAAAACTATTGATGAAGTCAATCATTGGGTTAATTATTCACAAAGGTAAGGAATTAAATACCAACTTCATCTACGCCTGAAAGAATAATCATTTTATAAGTATAGTTACTTATACAGATACTGCTCATACTGCTTCATTAATTTACATATAGATTTACTGAAATAAAAACGTGAAAGTATATTATTATTCTTAAAAAGAGTATTTGAGGGTTTTAGATTTTATTTTAGTCGAATTTTTATAAAAGTTAAAAGTGAATAATTCATTATCAATGGTGATCAATGCATTATTAAAATTTTAAAAGATGCGAAAATAGATAAACATTAAAATTTATAGTGGTAACTATAGTTATTGAGTCTAATTAAATTAATCTTATTAAATAATTAGCATAAATAAAATAATATATAATAAACATAATACAAAAACTTATAAACTTACCGTTTACAATAAAATACTTTATAAATAGAATTGCAAAATACTTCATATTATTGCAAAATTGCACAGAATTGCGATTCAATTTTTGATAAAATCAGTCTTTGCAAACATCAATCAAATAAAATTTAATTGAATAATGACAATTTTAATATATCTATATAATACTCAATATAAAAAAATTAAAATTACTTATACCTAATTTCGTACATTGAACTGGGACGGAAGAATTTTTTGAACACCTCGTGAAAATCATTTTACTCTTTCTTCTATTCAATCATCATAAATAAGGAGCAAGAAAATATCATTCCCAAAATCTGAAAATAGAAAAATAAATAGTTTTAAGACTCTTAAATTATTAGTTTTAAGATTTTTAGAAGCTTTCAAAGAAGTTAAAAGTACCTAACACTTAGTATTTCGTACTTCGCTCTCAAATTTTAAAATTTACACTATACTTTAATACACATTTTAATCATGTCATTAAATATAATATGTACAAATTATAATAAAAATATTTTAAATAAATAAATTCTTCAATTTAATATATCTGGGTGTAATCAAAATATGTTCCATGTTCTTTTGATGTTACTAGAAGTAAATGTGCATTTGTAAAAAATAATATTAAAAATTACTAGCAAATATTTTAGATATACAATTTACATTTTAAATGGCTTACTCATTTTCTTAAAAATTGACAAAAAGATGGGCAAAATTAGTGGGCATCGTGCCTTACAGGAAAATTGCTAAAACTTCCCGTATATAAATTAAAATACATAATTAAAAATATTGGTACGGAGCCCAAAAAAAATTACACAAAATATGTATGCATTATTGAAATCTCTATAAAATATCTGATAATTTGATGTACATATGTCCTTTTAACATTTTGACCGCCAAATAACATTTTTTTAACTTATTATTATTGAGAGTCCCAAAAATTTAATCAGTTCTTCATCTTGTCAGTACAAGTAAAATGTTTTGTGAATTATTCAAATCGGACGCTCCGTTCTCTTAAAAACGGAGTTACTGTTTTTGCCACTTATTGCCCCGTATCGTCGGAACGGCTAGACCTGTCTTCGCCAAAAACTGATCAGCACATCTCCTTATCAATACAAATCGAATGTTTTTTGAGTTATTGAAATCGGTTGGTCCGTGTTCCCGAAATAGTCGATGTATTTGTATCCGCACACACACGCACATACATCCATTTTTTGTAAGTTATGCCAAAATGTTCAAAAACCTTTGAAACGTAAAGATATATAAAAATTTTCATTATTGATATTTTTGCGATCACTATAAATTACCCTACGGGAAGTGTATATCAGTGTTTTCCACAAAAATTACTATTTTCAAATTGATATGTATCACAGATCTAAACCTTTAATAATAGAGAACGACATTACTTTTTAAATATACTTAATATGCGTTTTCCTGTAAATATTTATTGCATATTGCGCAGCTCAATATAAAATTGATCTTATTAGACAAAACGCTAAACAAAATTAGTAGTTTAAATTATAGAAAAATGATATTTAATCATTTCATCGTCAACTACTACCAGCAGGTTGTCTGGTATGAAATAGTGGCATAATACTCTGTAATATGCTACATATGATTATAAACAAAATATTTATGAAATGATTTTGCAAAAAACAGCTATCGGCGTTATTTTTTGATAAATCATAAAACAGAATCACCTTGAACTAAATCAAATAAGTAGGTACCCGTATGTTCCATATATCATTTGATAATAGTTTACATTGACTCAACATCTGTCTCTTCATATAAATTATTTGTAAGTGGCATTTTGCTCTACGACTTTTTATAGGTCAATAATATTTTAGGATGTTCATTCGACTAATTAGCCTAACTGATATCTTTCGAACAGTTTTTGAAGTAACAAAATCAGTCCAGGAATTTTGGCAAAAAAAATTTACTTTTTGATGTATTCACATATATAGATATGTAAATCAGAATAAATATTATCCTTTTAGACTATATACTAAGCTTTGAAGAGCTTATCTCTAAAGAAATACCTCGATTGATTTCTTTGTTTATAGAAAATGTCGACGAAAAATTTTGCATTGCTTATTTCAAAGAATTCGGCCGATCGTCTTGTAAAACTAATCAAGGTGGTTCCTCAACTAGTTACATCGAATGGCTTTTAACATGATATTTTTCGTACCATGATTGCTGCAACAGCCACTGCTGCTCCTCCTACGATGGCACTGTGCTCCTTCACAAAAGTAGAAGTCACGTTGACGCACCCAACCTCATACAAGGTATTGCGACTAGGAGAATCTTGACAAGGAAGTTTCTGAAAAATAAACATATTTTGAATAAAATAATTGGAGGAATTAATGATTACATGGATTTGCTCGTAAGTGGTTAGATCGACTAGACCTAAATCAGAGGTCCAGGGCTCGATACGCGTTTCGAGCAGTTTGATGTCAATTAGTAGTGACAACGGTTTTTACTTGGAAACATAGATATCAATATGTTGCCAAGTGAAAACAGTCCTCATCCGGCATTACTGCATTAATAATGAATCATCACAATTCAATTTACTATAATAACCAATTTGGTCAAACAAATAAATCAACTGTTTGGGTTGCGATCTATAATGAAGCTACGTAGTAAACTTATCATCTCAGCAGCTTAGAGAACATTTCAGTACTGATCTCTGTTCAAATAAGTACTAGAAAAAAATTATGTTATATAAATTAGTTTCATGTTAAACCTGTAATTTAATGTTTACCTGCTAACAATTAATATTAATCTCTTTCTGTAAATCTGTTTTTAAATTGACCATTCTCCGTAGAAATTTTTTTCAACATACAAAATTTACCAATATTATAATTTCTATAGATACAAAGTATTTTGGAGTGATGAATAACATTATTCTGTGATATAGATTTTTTTTAACAGCTATAAGCTGTGTTTGCAATCGTACATCCTAACTATTTTCTTTTCGAAAAGGCACCTTAGAGGTCAACCAATATTTGGTGGTGAAGTATATCTGACATCGTTGATTTATATATGTTGCAGCAATGCCCAGGAGAGACAATTTTCACTTGAAATTACATTTAAAATCTATAACCCCAAATTTGATATCATACTGCTCAAGAAGTGAATCGCCACGATAATAACAGAAAAAAAATCACATGGGTCATGGTAACTTTATTAGATAATTTTGTTAAATATGTATCAAGTAAAATGAGGAATGTACCAAAATTCCTGGAAAATCACTATTTATAGCGTGCACTGACATGGTCCTATATTAAAACTTTTTTTCGACAAGCCAAGATATTTTCAGGTGAACTTGTCAGACATGAATCTTGTGCAACTTCGTAGAGTCAGGCACACATGATAACTTGGTGATTAACGTGCTAGCCCAGATCTTTAACCATTACACCATGATATGCTTCTTGGAAAGAATTGTATATGGTAACACCATTATTTTTGTTCACACTAGTCAACACTGCTGCTGCAGTATTATCAGTACCAGCAGTAACTAGCATCCAATAGAAAAATTTTTGGATTATAACTGTTCAGGTCGATAGTACCTTTTATCAGTAAATTGATATCATTTGTGATTTCCGTACTCCGTTACAATTATTCGGCAAATAAATTGAATTGAATTAAAATAGTGTTTAATTTATAAAACAAGTTCTGCAAGACATACAGTATATGAATTTCTTGGAAAATACGTCCATAAAATTTTGGTCCTTCGAGCCGGATCTTGGCTAGATCTTGAGCTGCAGAATATACATTTTATTCTAAAATTTGTGCACTACGTCAATTTTGTGCAATACGTGCACGTGCAATTTGCTGCAGTTTGCTGAATGCTGACACGTGCAATTTGCTGCCGAATTACTGTGGACATCATCCACGTGGCCTGAGTGAACTTGGGGTTCAGGAAGTGTCGCGAGTCTACTAGTTACATATGCGGAGATAAGGAGCTGTGGAAAGTCTAACACGTGTCCCAAAGGAATTACTTAGAAGAATTCATGAGGTGACCTTGTAGAAGTGATATCTATTGACATTTATTTATTTGACATTACCTACAGTGAATATTATAATTATTTCATTGTATTGTAATTGCTTATTATAGTTATAAATTTTGAGTTGTAAAGGTCGTAGGCTTGTAGGTTTCATTGTTGTTTGACGCCATTTTACGCGACCGACATCCATTATAGTTAGCTTAAGGTCTGAAGTTTATACTCGTGTGGCCTTACCTAACAATATTATATTATTTTTTTTCAAAGTTGTTTTCATATTTTCCATTCTTTAGACTGATTGTTATTAGTTTATAAATTTAATTTGAAGTAATAATTTAATTTCAATCAAAATGGCCGACTTAAGTACATTGTTGCAACAGAGGTCACAGATAGAAATTACGTTTGACATTATATTTAAATATGTTACTAGCTTTAAAGGCGATAATATTGCCGGTTTAAATATACGCAAACAGAAATTACTAGAAATGTTTCATCGGATCGAGGAAATATATGTTGAATTGGAATTGCTCGAGCCCAAAAAGTACTCAGTAGAATTCGCAAATATTGTGAGAAACATTTAGATTTATTGACTAGGATTGACGAATTAGTCCAAGATAACACCGTTGATAACAAACAAGCTATTGATAATATAATAAAACCCAATAATCCGCAGGTTAAATTACCTGACATAGTATTGCCGAGGTTCAATGGCGAATATAATTCATGGGTTGAGTTCAAAGATATTTTCATTTCATTAATACATAACAACACAAATTTAACAGATGTAGAAAAGTTGTATTATCTAAAAGGTTCATTGTCTTCTGGCCCGTCTAAATTGATAGCGAATTTAACCATGACAAACCAAAACTATGCCATAGCTTGGAATTCATTGACACAGCATTATGATAATAAACTTTTCATTATTAATGCACATTTGTCATCATTATTTAATTTACCGAATTTAACTAGAGATACGTTTGAACATTTAAATTCATTTTTAAATACTGCTCGACAACAGGTGCTATCACTTAAATCAGTCTATGATGACGCTAAGTATTGGGACTTAGTCTTTATATTTTTATTCACAAAAAAGTTGGACGATAAAACCTGCTTGGCATGGAATTTACATAGGAATACAGATTTGCCTACTTTAGAACAATTTTTTGAATTTTTAACATCACGTATTTCAGCCTTGGAGGCGACTTTTAGATCAGAACCTTCTAGTAGTAAATCAAAATTTAATTCAAAACCCGTTAATTTCATTAGTAAACAAAAATCCAAGCGAATTTGTCCATTTTGCAAACGAAATCACCCATTATTTAATTGTGACGCATTCAAAAAATTGTCTGTCCAAGAACGCAAGAAATTTGCAAATAAAAATAATTGTTGTGAGAAATGTTTGGATGGTTTTCATGCCTTATCAAGTTGCAAGTATACGGGTTCATGTAGGGTATGCAAATCCGAATTGCATAATACTTTGCTACACAGTGCACAAAGTGATCAGATTAGTCACCAAGTAGATAAGCCTTCTGATAAGCCACCGACGATTTTGTTAGCTAATTGTAAAAATAACATTCAAACCTTGTTATCTACTGCCATTGTAAGGGTTTATGATTCATTTGGTAGATCATTCAATGTACGGGCATTATTAGATAGCGGTAGTCAAATAAATATTATTTCGGAGTCACTTGCCGACCGGTTAAATTGCACTCTAAATACAGTATCAAATTCTTTAAGTGTTTTACATGGACATTCGTTATTTAGTAATAAAACAGCTACTATAAAAATATTTTCAAATGCTTCTACGTTTTCTAGAACCTTAGATTTTGTTGTTTTAAAATCAATAACTAGTAATTTGCCGTCCGCTGATATTAATATAAACGATTGGAATATTCCCTCACACATTAAATTAGCGGATCCTCATTTTTATATTTCAAGCCCTATAGATATGTTGATAGGAGCTGAACTCTTCTTCGACATTCTACAACAGGGGTCTATTAGGTTAGGAAGTTATCACCCGATTTTACGTAACTCTAAGTTTGGATGGATTGTTTCGGGCAATTACAATAGTGTTGAAAGGTCTAAGGAATATGTAGGTTTGATAACACATTCTAATTTTAAATTAAATGAGAATTTAGTTAAATTCTGGAATTTGGAAGAAATACCTGAGACAAATATGCGCCTTTATGGTTTAAATAAAATTTGTGAAGAGCAGTTTCTATCTAGTGTTTCTAGAATTAATAATAGGTTTGAAGTTGCCTTGCCCTTTACCCCAGATTATAAAGGACAATTAGGTCATTCATATGATGTTGCACTTAAAAGATTTCTTTATTTAGAAAAGCGATTTCACAAGAATCCCAATTTATATAAACTATATTGTGAGTTTATTCATGAATATATTTCTATGGGGCACGCCGTTCAAACAGATATTCCAAAATCAGACACTTTAGATACCTTTGATTCTTTTACCAGTCATAATCATTATTATATGCCACATCATGCTGTTTTTAAAAATTCAGATTCTAATAAAATACGCGTTGTTTTTGACGCATCGACTAAAACTTCGTCGGGAAAGTCTCTTAACGACATCCTTCTAACTGGTCCAAAATTACAGAAGGATTTATTTTGCATTTTGCTAAGATTCAGATCGAAGCCTTTTGTTTTCATAGCTGATTTAATTAAAATGTTTAGACAAATAAATATTAAAAGAGCCGATCAGGAGTATCAAAGGATTCTTTGGAGGGACTCTCCTTCGGAAGAAATAAGATGTTACAGGCTTACAACTGTAACTTACGGAACGGCTTCAGCTCCATATCTTGCGATAAGATGTTTGAATCATTTAGCCTTTGAAGAAAAAGCCACATTCCCGATTGCTTCACATGTACTTTTAGAGGACATTTATGTCGACGACATAATTACTGGTGCTAATAGTATAGAACATTTACAGCGTACTAAAATTGAATTAATCAAGTTATTAGAATTAGGCGGTTTTTGCTTACATAAATGGGCTTCAAATATTCCAAGTTTTTTAAATGATATTCCTTTGCAATTGAGAGAATTTAATAACCCTATCTTCACTGACGATAAAAATTCTATTAACACCTTAGACTTATTATGGAATCCAAAACAGGATCACTTTCTTATTTCAGTTCCCACTTTTAAATTTAATAATTGTACAAAGCGAGTTATTTTATCTGTGATATCACAAATTTTTGATCCTTTAGGATTGATCGCACCTGTCGTTATACAAGGAAAACTGATTTTACAAGAACTTTGGAAAGATAAGAAAGATTGGGATGAAAGTGTTTCTGCAAAC